AAGCTAGTCGTGGGCAAAATGTTCAGGACAGATTCCCGGATGACCACTACACATGCCCCAGATTTGTCAGATGCCAGGAGTTTGCCCGGAGCGAGTTCAAGGGCCTCAAGGGATTTGGTCACTTCGAGAGAGGTAGGGCCTGGTGCTCGGGTCAAGGAATGAGTTCGGACGGGGAGGAAATTCTTGGACTCTGAGGGAGGCAAAACCGTTTCCTTTGGCTCCTTTGGAAGCCCATCAATTTGTCAATCCCCAATGCTCTTTTTTGGTGTTGGAATCCGAAGAGTGGCCAGGTGGAACAACCCGGATGAACATGGATGAACCGTATATCCACCACGCAACGTGCTCCCAACTTGCTCCCACGGACCCGCCCGCGCCCGGGATCCACAAGACGCCCACGCCTGACTCGCAGGTTCCCGTCGACCGACGTCCTGGATCGCGCCACCGGCGACGCCGCCGGCAGCTCTGCGCGAGGTGCCTTGCGCTGGTAGAGAGTCTTTGAAAAGAAGCGCGTCGGTGCAAATCTACGCAAATCTGATGGTTTGCACGTGTTTGAACATGGCACGGTACGGCAGAGATTTATGATTCACATCATTCCGCCTTGGATTTGACAACTCTTTGGATCGGACATCAACATTCATCAAGGCCTAAACCCCAACCTGTGTGTGTGTGTCACCCTTGGAGTCATAGGGATGCTTTTGCATTTGTTTTACCGCAGGGGGCACCTGGAGCAGAGATAGGGCAGGCGCCAACGAAGACACCTATCTCTTGCTCGTGATATCGACGGGAGACGTCCTGTCGACGTACCTGCAACTTTTCCAGTTTCTGCATGGCGTGAGGCTAAGCCAAGAACCTCAAACTGCAGACATGCACGACACGTCGTCATGTCGACCTGCCCGCCGACCTCGATCTTGCGCTTTGGGCCACCTTTCCTTTTAAGACCTCCAGGATTCGATGGTCCCTTCTGGTTTTCTTAGGAAATGGAACCCTAGGCCGGCGTGTGGCACCGCATTCACATCAGTACGCATATCCATGAATGTGTTTGGCTTCGTGCCAACCCGGGATGAGCCCGCAGAGTGCCTCCCGTGGACCCGTCGAACGGGTGTACGTCCATGTTCCCCCGGCTTTGGGAACGCAGATGTCCACAGCGGACAGTAGATGGCTAATGCCGTACGTCCGATGATTTATGTCTCATTTTTGGAATTCCAAGCTGGCTCATGCCTTTACGTGACCGCAGCGGTCAAAGGTGGCAGCCTTCGGGCAAGCCGTACGTGGTCGCAGCGACCAAAGTCTGTTCAAGGCTCATTGGAGTCTGTCGCGAGCTTAGTCCCCCCCTCCTCCCCCTTCCCTTCCCCTTTCTCTCTTTGCTTTCTGGGGTTTTCCTGAATGGAATACTCAGGATCTCCCCTCTCTTTCTTTGGTGTGTCCCTGGACGATCGTTCGTAGCTGGGAACACCTTCCTTTCTCTCCTCTCCCTCTCTCTCTCTCCCTCTCTCTTTCTTTCCTTCTCTCTTCCCTCTCTTTTCCCTCTTCCTTGGGTGTCCCTGGATGCTTTCGTCATAGCTGGGAACCCTTTTCCTCTCCTCCTTTGGTGTGTCCCTGGACGCTTGTGTCGTAGCTGGGAACACCTTCCTCCCCTTTCCTTTCTTCTCTTTCTTTTTCTCTTCCCTCCCTACCCCTCCCTCCTGTCAGGACCTTAGTGTGGGTTGCTACTAGGCGCTACTTTGGTGCTTCTAGGGGTTCCTGGCCTTACTACTAGGCGCACAGGTTCTTGCCTCCCTTCGGGGAGGCGTGTGTGTGTCACCCTTGGAGTGATAGGGATGCTTTTGCATTTGTTTTACCGCAGGGGGCACCTGGAGCAGAGATAGGGCAGGTGCCAACGAAGACACCTATCTCTTGCTCGTGATATCGACGGGAGACGTCCTGTCGACGTACCTGCAACTTTTCCAGTTTCTGCATGGCGTGAGGCTAAGCCAAGAACCTCAAACTGCAGACATGCACGACACGTCGTCATGTCGACCTGCCCGCCGACCTCGATCTTGCGCTTTGGGCCACCTTTCCTTTTAAGACCTCCAGGATTCGATGGTCCCTTCTGGTTTTCTTAGGAAATGGAACCCTAGGCCGGCGTGTGGCACCGCATTCACATCAGTACGCATATCCATGAGTGTGTGAATTTAAATCTCTATTATGATCCATCTGGGGGGTCCAGATAAACCACCAAACTTGAGGGCCCTTGTGCCATCGCTGAACTCCACCGGTCCTTTTTGCTTGACTTCTGCCGGACACCCCTCGTCCCGCCCCGCCGCTCGCCGCACGCGTCTTCCGCCCTGCCGTCGATTCACGTCGGCAGGGCCGTGTGATCGAGGAGTTCTGCGCACGGCTCCTGCCACGGACCGAGCGCCCCCGAGCGCCCGGACGACGCTCGAGCGCCGCGGGATCGCCGGATCGCCGGATCGCCGGGGGCGTCACCAGGTGACGAGGGTCGGCCAGCTTGTTTGGGCCCGCTGCCGGTGGCCGGGCGCCGCCCTCGAGGCCCTCGGGCTTGACGCGCACCCAGTCAGTGCCCAGCAGGTTCAGCCCTCAGCAAGAAGGTTTGCAGTGAAAAGGACCGCCAGAGGTCGTGATCAGGACATATCCAAACCCCCCACCACACAAGCTGCCATCCCCTGCTAGGCTGTACTATTCGTGCCTCATTCTTGTGTCCATCTCATTGCTGAGCGCCCATTGAAACCGGGGGTGTTTTGCAGTCTAAGTGGGCTCGGCAAGACCAGAGGGAATTCCGAAGGCCCCGGCGACAGTCTCATGAATCGTCATGATCAGCAATGGGAAGTTTCTGGATCATTCTCAGCCATGCTGCGCCATGCTCCATTCCAATGAGGAGGTCACTAAGGAGGTGGAAGCTCGAACGAAGCTGGAGCTTCCAGTAGTCCTCCATGCCAATATCGTTCCTTGCGATGCGGCCGGTAGAGTCATGGGCGACCAAAGAAAACAACACCTTGGAAACAGGCAAATGCATGTGGGTTCCATTCCACACATTGTGGCATGGTGCCTAACCTCGGGCCGGCCGTCGTGCCGAGGTTGCAAGAACTGGTGCAGTTGGGTGATGAGGTGCACCGCGAAAAGCCCAAGCCTGGCAGCCCAGCACGTGCCGGGCACGTGCGCACAAGCGCGCGCATGGGAACGCGAGCCGGGGGGGTCTTGTTTGGCCCTGTTTCACGGGGCGTGACACTGGAGTAGGACTATAGAGATAGATGTGTCACCCTCTCTCCAGCCAACGGATGAAGGAGGGTTCCTCACGGGATTTGCAGGTATTGTCGTAGGGTCAGCAATTGGTGGTGGTCAAGAGCATCTCAAGGGCAGCGGCTGTACAGCCTTTGCTTTCAAGAGCCTTTGAATCAGCTTGTAGCCGCAGTCCGTCGAATCATCCAAGATAGACATAGATAAACCAGCAGACCAAGCAGTTCGACTTTTATGCACACTCAAACATGACACTTACTGTACTACATCTTACCAGGATGCCCCCACTAAGGGAAAAGGTAGATGTTGAGTAGATGAACCACAAGAGGACAGGAGTATCGGAGTAGCCAATGTTGTTTTGAGCCTTGGGGCTCGCATGTCTAGGTTGAGTCATTGAGGCACTCGCACCGTACGCCTCAAGAATCCTTGTTCCGGAGATCACAGACCGATGACACCGCATGAAACCTGCAGACGGTCCAGACTAGTGTCCAGACTATGGGGTAGGCAGCCCAAGTATCTGAAGGTGTTTTGTTCTACTTGGTGCATGGTCCTGGTAGGTCCTGGTATGTCCTGGTCATAGACCCATAGACCCATAGACCCATGGACCCCGAGCTCGGCGGTTTTTGGGACGGAAAGCCGTCTCAAGCCGTTTCAAGCCGTCGGGACGTGCACCACCAGTGCTAACGCGCCTCAAGAAGCCGACACGTACGTTGGACAGGCTGCACTGCTGAGAGGCGTTTTTGGTTGGGATCGTCTCCTTGCTACTTGCTAAGGTCCTTTGTTGGACGTGCAGGCCGGCCATTCTCTGACGCGGATCCATGGGACGTGTTTTCGCTGCTCATGTTACTTTTGAGTTCTCATGAAAACCCAATGTACCATGTGTTTTATCACGTGTTATCATTAAGTTCAACCATTCTCATCCATTCTCCAGCTGGTGGAAGCATGGACCCTCCTGAACTTCCAGCACTTCTCGGCTCAAGCATCGTAAGCATTGTGTGGTTCCACCACCCCAAATGGACGCCGTTTCGACTTCTGCCTGATTCCGCCCAGCCTCCGACGGCGAGCCTGGCCACTGGGCGAAGCCGTTTAACCGGCATGACTCAGATGGATCTGTAAAATCCTGGATGAAGCATGTGAACATCCCCTTGTTTCACCTGAACATTCCATGTGAACAACCATGTGAACATCCACCTGAATGGGAAGACCCTGTGTTTCTTCTCCGTATCAACCGAAGCCCAGCGGGGTTCCACTCCGCTTCCATGTGATGTGGGAGGGGCCGAAAAAAAGAGTGTAGCTCTTTTGCTGCCCAGTACGGCGGGTGAGGTCCATGGAGGTCGCCCATGGGCCTCATTTGCAAAGTTTTGGAAAATAGATGAAAAGGGCAGTTGCTGGTCACCATGCTACTGGGTTGGCTGGATGTTTAGCGTGTTTTGGAGATCCAGCTTCTGGCTAGTAACATTGGTTTGATGTCGTTTCTCAAAACATCTCAGAATCCAGGCGGGCAGCCACATCTCAAGAGTCTTCGATCCCAGTTTTTAGGTCTTGGGGGGTTCAGAGATGTGCGGGGCCCCTAGCTCACTTCAACCCTCCAAGTTGGACCACAGCTCCAAGCACATTGGAGTTCTACGACTGTCAGGCTTCATGATGATGCTTCATCCATGTTCATCCTCTTTCACCCGATGCAACGCCCTATGGCGCGTTCTTCCATGTTTCGCATCCCGAACTTCGACGTGTGCGTGCCCAGGACCTTTGTCGCCCGCGGCCCCATGTGGCCGGCCACGCTTCGGCGCCCTGCGCAGCGCTGCGCAGCGCCGCGAGGCATGCGAGCCGCGCGAGGCGCTGCAGGTGCCCATGGAAGTTGCGTTGGATTCCCTCAGTTTGCCAGTGGGTTGATGTGCACCCCTTGCCTATAGACTATTGGTGCGATTGGTGTTGTTTTCTACTGCAAGACTATTTGTATTTAGCATTGTAAGACGATGACGACGACGTTCTCGACGACTGCTGAACCTGCTACTGCTACTACTGCTACTCTTGCTACTCTCCGCCTATTACTCGCTCTCCGCCCTGTGGGGGTCCTGTCCCGCTGAATTCTCCCGTTCAGGCGAGTCCGACCTCGTCTCCCACGACGGGCGCCAGCTGCGCTTTGGCTACCGACCGCTGCAGCGGTGGGAGCGCTGCGCCACATTGATGGCCATCCAGATGGGAGATCGGATGAGATGGGTGGATGAACCAGCTCACTGAAGCAAAAAGGTGTGAAAAGTGTTTTGGGGGACAAAGTCTGGAGATCCATATTAGATGTTGATTTCGTGTTTCTGCAAGTGTGGCAATTCCGCATGCCCCAACACTCAGAGTGAGGCGACTTGAATTTGTTTGGTCCTGCAGGTCCCTCAAGTCTCTTGTGAGCATCCCATCACCCAGTGGGTACGGTGGGTGCTCATCTACTCCACCATTAAAGCGATTAAAGTATACAGGTATATAGTTGAAGAGACACCAGACTGCTAAGAAAGGAGGGATGGAATGAAGTGCAATGTATGTGATATGTTGCATGTGCTTCATGTTGGGATGGTATATCGATATTGTCTCTGCCCGATCTGTGAAGACTGCACGAACAATTTGGTACTTGTAATGCTTTGGATTGATGATTAGGGTTGTGCTTGCACAAAAGGGAAGGGCCGATTCTAGCACAGTGGAATGCACCAAATCTGCCACGACCGTCAACTTGTGGAGCATGCTCTCGGTCGGTTACTGTTTTTCCTCAAACAGCTTTGCTGTGAGTGAAGCGAACCTGGCCAAGATGAATTCTGGCTCTGGCCTCTCTCTCTCTCTCTCGCTCTCTCTCTCTCTCTCTCCCATGGCTTTTCTTGGATGCTGGGCTGAGATGATTCTGCTTCGTCTCCTTGGATGTTGAAACCGCATCTTAAACACGTCAATGACCCAGCGGCAAACCGTGTGTTTTTGGCTCACGGGAACTGGGCACTGCAAACCAAATTGGTCAAAAGAAACAGCTGCTGTTTGGGGTTCGAAGCTGGTGCTTTCGGTGCACGGGTCGTGGGGGTTTCAATAGGTTTCATCTAGATTTAGCATGTTTGCTCTTTGGGGTTACTTCATATCAGCCTTCATATTCTTCCAACTATGCGTTTGGTTCTTCTCGTCACCCCACCCCGACAGGCCAGTTTTGCGCTGCTGGGTTTGCTGGCGCGCGCCCGGCAAAGCCCCTGGCAGCGTGCGGCCCGAGTGCTGAGTAGCGGGCGAAGCCATTGGCCTCGCGGCACGGAAGAAGGGGGCTGGCCGGCGGCCGGTTTGTGCCGTCCATCCAGGGGGAATGGTGGGCTGCCCAGAGAGTTTCAGCGTGTGTGCAGAGTTATATTTTTCTGGGAGATTTCCGGGTTTGTCACTTAGATAGCTGGGCTGCCCGCTGCCAGCTCTCAAAAGTGCTGCAGCTTCCAAGGAGGCATATCCGTCCCACTTTTGAAGCAGCACACAGTTATCAACTCTTGGCACATACGACATATTGACTGTGTGTTTTTTGTTTCGCTTTGTGTCGCTTGGCGAGCTTTGTTTTGCAACGACCTGCAAATACCTGTCCTAGACATAAAGCATTTTATTGCAGGCAACTCCCCTCCAGTGTCAACATTTGTTTTGAAATTGCCAAGCCCATCATAGATAAGGTGGACATGCCAGGCATACGAAGATGTGGCGTGACTGTGTGTGTGTGTGCAAGCGCGCATGTCTGTGTGTGTGTCTGAGTTAGTTCCAAAACAGACTGTCCGATGCAAATTCATCAGAGGTCTACTGTCAGATTTGATGAGCCAGAGATCGCCTTCACAAATCCAGCCCTCTGAATTCAAAAGTCCAGCCGTGATGCTCTTTGTATTCCAAATCCTACATGTTTCTTCAGTCCCGACCGCGGTCTCGCTCGGCTTCCATTCTGAAGTGCAAGCTCCGAACACGAAGACCGGCTCGGAGACCGACTCTCAGGGCTCGAAGACCGAGGCTTGTTTGGAGTTTGAGCGCCTTGTGGATTGTGGGCTCCGTCGCTTGGTCGAGCAGACAGAAACGATGTTCACGAGGGGAGATGGGAGAAGGGTCGAGCGCAGTCGAGCGCAGATAGATTTGGTAGAGAACACCAAGCAGTAGTTGAGATAAAGAAAGCAACTATATAAAGTCAGAATCGTCCTTCCTTCTGCTCGGGATGTTCGTTGTTAGAAGTGGACTCTGATTATTGTTGTATGTCATGGAACAGTTGCCCTTGTCGATTCTCCCAGAAATACATTATTTATGCCAGTTCCCTGTAGACTTACTCTTGAGTGTTCTCAATTGTGGACGCTGGGGGAGTGTTTAGGATGAAGCATCAACACCCTTGGATTGTGATGACAAGATCGATGTCGCTTCGCTTGGCTGAAAGGTGAAAAGGTCCATGCCGCTTGGTCCAATGGTTGACGTTTGTGTTTGACGGCAGGGCCGCGTGGCACATATTTCAGTATCATTCATGATCATTCCACTTTGATTTATCAATGTTTCCGTGAGTCCTATGTTTATCATGTCGACGCCCCGGCATTTGTCAAAAATGAACTTGATTAGACTCGATGTTTGCCCGTTTTCTCAATGTTTTCGACTGTTGCCATTTTTTGGAATGGTTTCTTAAGATTGTTTTTTGTTGTTTTTTTGTCAACTGGTTCGAATCATCATTGCTCTTGAGTTTGGCTAATCGGCTAACCAGGATTCCAAGGTCAGTCTTGAAGAGAACACACATGGTGCCGCAAAGATGACATAGGCATCATGGAGCAGTTGCCTGAAAAGACCAAGTATCGAAGAGTTTGATGGACAAGGGAAACTTTGCGGTTCTCTCAGATGGAGTTCAATGTTGCAGGGAAAGTGTTGGCATGAAACATTAGGACACTGAATGTCTCGGACTTTTAAAGAATGAAACGACATGAAGCAGAATGAAAGAGAATGTGTGGGTGATGAGTAACCTTGGGCTCAATGAGAAAGAGGTCCTTTTGGACACCAAACTCCGTTCCTTCCCCCGGGCTTTCCGTCCGGGTTCGGATCGTTTCTGTGTGGGCTGCGACCGATTCAAGCGGCACCAACGGAGCACTCAAGGCCTGGGCGACCCACGCGGTGCTGAAGCTGTGCACCGTGATGTGTTTTGCGCGGCCCAAGCTGCTGCCTCCGGAGTCCATCCTTCCTTCAGCCTCGAGCGACACGGCAAAATTCTGGGCGCCGAAAAGGGGGGTTCCGTCCGAAAGGTAGCAGAAAACGCCTCCCTTTGGTTGGGAAGCGACGTCGAAGTGCGAAGACCATGATGATCCACAATGATCCACAATGTATTTTAATCATCCGATGCTCAGGAAAATGGTTACCCCTGCAACGCATGCTTCTGTGAAATTCTTGAATTTATAGCCTGATGGAGCTTGTCCAGGTACTGTATCTTGTTTGTTCTTTTTCTTAGTCCAAGGGGTAGTCTGCATAGAGGTGTGGCTTGCAGCACATGTACATACTCAAAGAATCTCAAAGACATATACACCCCTGCCTGCAGACTCACATAATACCGTGAAAATGGACCCCAATGTAAGACCATTCTCATTTACCACCCAGTGGTTTTCAGGCTCCATGTTAATCTGCAGGAGGGTAGAGGTTGATGCCAACAAGTTTAAGATTCCTATGCCCCCAACCGCCAGTGTGCAACAAGGACTGACCTCGGCTTCATCAATCTACTCAATCCCACCGAGCCTGTCTCATGGGTTGCTTTCCATGCCCCACGGTGACATCTAGCTGATTCTCCAATCCCACCGATGGTTCTGCTGAGGTTCGATCCGACATCTACCAGGAAAGGTCGCGGTGCATCTGCTGCGCCGTCCACCTGACTCCACTGAAGATGTGATGCCTGTACTTTGCTTCCATGGTTTCGGAGCCAATGCCACATCGTATGAGGAGTCTTGGCTGTTCTCCAGTAGCATTGGATTGTCTGTTTTTTTTCAGAACCATCAAAAACCCGGGAAGGGAGGTGTTCTGTGCATTTCGCAATGAATCAACAATTGCTTTGCACTTTGTTTTCGCAATCCAACTCCACTAAGTATGACTCACTATCCAACAAGTGTGCTCTAACTGGAATGGTGCTTCTAGAGGCACTATATGTTTACGTGATGTTACGTGTATTGTCCCTTTTGTTGCCTCAGGTGGTAGCCCTTTTTCAGATTCACCAGCTTTCTTGGAAGTCCCTTTCCTTGGAGAAAGATCCAGGACTTGCTCGACGCGCTCATGGCTCAACTGCCCAGTGCATTGCTCTTGTGCCCAGACCAAGTGGGCTTTGGACTGACCAGGACCCGGCCATAGTGGTGGAGTCTTCCCAACGGTGCGGCGGGAAGGTCCGGGCGCGTGAAAGAGAGCATTTTTAAGCCGGATGGCTCTGAGGGGTGCACGCAACAACTAACCAAGCACCAAACGCACTCCGACGCCGGGACGAAAGAACAAACGCAGGTGTTTCGATGGCGTCGACCTAACAGAGCCTAGCCAGTGCCCTGGCCTCCTGATGTTCCAGAGATGGGCCTGCGTAACCAGGTGAACACCTTGATCACTCCAACCGACGCGAGGAGACCGTCCTTGGAGATCCACCGCCAGCTGCGGCGCAATGATCTGCCAGCCCATTTGCTGAGGCCTAAGGAGCAGAAAGTCAGAGATCCATGGGCAAGGAAAAGGTGAGTGAAAGATCATGTCAAGGAACATAGTGAACAAGAGGTTCTGGATGGAGGGCCATCAAGTTATATACTCGTACCTGCTAAAGAGAACAATGTCACACCGTATAAGGCCTGACACCCCAGTGATTTTGAATCCCATTGGTGAAAAGAAACTCTTTCAATTTGGGCCACTGCAGTGGTGAAGTAATCTTCAACTTGAAGACCTCAATGACTCCACTCAACTGCTTAGACAGCTTGACAGGACCAAGCAAGCGCGCTTGACAGCCTCACTCCCTTGCAGATGTACACACTCAGCGGCAATGCAGTGATTGTGGCTCGTCACACTGCTGGTCACGAACCATCCCTCAATCAATGTTTTCGGAGATCAACTGATCAACTGAGCCCGTTTATATCCGTTTATCATAGCTACGTAATATGTAGACTGACGTGCCAGAGGGAGATCTAAGCGGGCAGAATTGGAACAACTATTTGCCTGTAGAAACGGATCTTCCCTCCCTAGGCCCTAGTACAGGAAAATAGTCTTCTCAAGAAAAGGCCACGGGCATTCCATGTGTCTTTACCAAAGGTTCAACAATGACACCGAGGGCCGGTTGGGCCAATGACACATTGGGTCGTAGACTTGGACCGGCCGGTCCCAGAGGGTTCCCGAGGGTCATGTGAACCGACTGATGGCCCAAGTGAGGGCCCGTGGTACTTGATGCACTCGATCAAGGCCAATGCCCTCCTGAACTCTGAACCGCTTCTGCCCTCGGGCCCTTCGTCGCTGCTGGTGATCGGCCACTCCATGGGGGTGCGACGACCGGACGACGGGGACGACGCGGTGCATCAACGGCCGTGGTGTTTCGTGCGTTCTTTAGCATTTTTGTTTGCTATTTTCTGGGGGGGGGGGAGTTAGTGCTTTTAAGGTGCGTTATTGTGCATGTTCAGTGGGATTTTTAGTGTTTTTTCTTATTTATGCATGTTCAATGCAAGCGTCACACTCATTCATGTTGACACACTTTCTCCCGAAATGTGTGAGTCGGGGGATGCCATTGGCATTATCACCAGTGTGAAGCTGAAACGACTGGTCTTGCACACTTGTACACTCGATTTCAGAAACTGGAACACTATAGGCTTGTGGATGACGTTGGTCCCGGTGGCTCGCAGAACGTGTCGAAGGGCCGAGGAGTCCGTTGAAGTGTTCGGATCGGGACAGACGAAACCGATGCAACTGATGCAACTGTGTGTGTGTGGATCTTACCCATTTAAACTTTGAGAATAGGTGTGTGAGGGTGTGTGTGTGTGTGTGTTTGATCAGGAACCGATTCCTCGCACAGCCTTCTCTATAAGTCTTTGCGGCACGGTTACAACGAGGTCACTCAATGAAAACATGTGGTAACCGAGCAGACAGAAATCTGTCAGTACGGGATACAATCATCGCGAATACGTTGTTAAAGGACAAATGTTGCACAAAGAAGGGGTCATGGGTGGTTTCCCATGTCACATGCTCATTTCGATTCTCCAGGATGTTTCGAGTGGATGCGTTGCGCATCGACTGCAGGGTTTGGGTGTTTCTGTTTTCACAGACCATGTCCCACTTCAGTGATGGTTGGAGAGAGGTTCTCCTCCACATCACCACTGAGAGTCCATCCATGGTCTCCATCCATGTCTCTGGGTCTGCGCCTGGCAGGCGATCACGGCGGCGGCCGTGGCTGTGAGCCAGGCGCGCCAGGCCAGGGAAGCGCAACGGAGGATGGATGGACGGATGTGTTCCCGCGACGGCGAGACGACTTCCAGGATGGAGCGAAGCGACTTTCTTTTGCAATCTTTTGCATTGATTTGTCTGAAATGCCAGGGCGTCGAGAGATCAAGATAAGCAGAAAGCGACATGCCGAACGCGTGCCTTATGTTCGATGATGGAGTGGCCCTCTTGGCAATGTTTGTTGCATGGACTTGTGCACCCTGGACCCTCCTGCAGCGACCGGGTTGTTGGCCCAACGACCAGGGCACTGTGGTGAATCTGATCCTTGAGAGCCCTGCCTTCCTCACCAACCCCACCAAGCACCTCAAGTCCTCCACGATTGGGGCAGTGCCTTCAACTGGCATTGGCTGGGCGCGAACAGTGACTGAGTAGTATGGGAAGACATCTTCGAAGATGCGAGGTGAAAGGCTCTAAATTCTTGAGAAATACCAGAAATCCAGGAATAGGCCCTTTTTGTGACACCTCTTTCGTCCTCTTTCTTTCCGGCGAGATGTGTTTCAACATACTGTAATTAAAAACACAAAAAGACCTTTTCAAAGTAACGGTCGCAGGGCCACCCTGAAAAGAGTTCATGGAACGGATTTGAGAATAGAAACAATGGCTGGAGCGCAGGCATTGCAATGTACTTCTGTTGATCGCAAGCAGGTTGATAGCCATCCCTGCCTTGAACTCGTGTACTGTATGAACTTGGGCCAGCGCCTGCTCGTGGTTTAAGAGGAAACGAATCCATTGGGGGTCGGAATTGCACATGTTTTGGTAGAATCGACCACGGCGGATCATTCTGAGGTCACAGCCCTGTCTTTGCGTTTCCAGAGGGCCTTTCTACGCCTGGTGCTTCAACTGCCGGGGCTGACCTACAACAGGCGGATCGCCGGAGCACCACTCCGATCGCCGTCCGGCCTTCACATCGCCTCTCCCCAGACTACGTAGACGACCTTTGATGAATACACCCCACGGTTACAC